TGAAAAGGGTTTAGCATGAAAGTTTCTCAACGAGATTTTCTGATTAATAACTGGCTCGTAAAAGGATTACTTTAGCTTTTCGTAAGTTACTCGAGTCAAGTGCTTTGAATTGTAAAAGATTTGAACGGCAAAGAGAAGATGCAGCCTTAAGGCGTTGTAAATAAATATGTTCACGTTATCCTGAACACATCACAATTCACTGAGATACGAGTTTAATCGGAAAAGAAGTTAAATATAAAAGATGTAAAATCGCAAGGAGGCGAGAAGGCGAGGAGGCGAGGAGGCATTTTGCATTAGAAAATTCCTTCCCTATATATGGTCTTATAAAAAATGAAATCCTTATATAATTTCTCGTCTTTTGTAATGAAAACTTGATTCATAGTAGTAGTAGTGAAGTCGGCTATTTTTAACTTTAATACATTTATAGCACTTGGGGTATAAGTGCTCTCAGCCAAATAAGCGATTTTACCCTTTGAAAGCCTACCCGGCCCAATATATGAATAAGCTTTCAAATCGAGATAACATGTTTTGCATGTACGTATGTATGTGCTTTAGGAAATCTTCATATGGCATATTAATAAGAGGAAAAAGAATAAAATTTGGATACGTATTTTTTTTCTTTTTTTCAATATCATGCATAAGCCATAATTAGTTAATTTCCGTTTCAGATCAAATTGATGTTTGACATCAGCCATCCAGCCATTCAGCCATAATTCCATTATTCATTACAGCTTCGTCAACTACGTAATAGCTGTGTCAGCAGTTTATGAGTCAACAAATTGTTAAATTTCCGTTAAAATTTATGAAACACTTCCGTTTATCGGTCGGTCGGTGCTGCAGAGCATAAAAAAGCTACGAAAATTGCACCTACAGAGCTAAAGATAGGAAAAGCATGCAAACGCTAACGACGAGAAACCTAATAAAACTTAACAGAGGAAATGACTTGTACTTGATAAATTGATGAAATGATACAATGAATGAATGAATGAATGAATGAATGAATGAATGAAAAGTAAACTTATACGGATTAAAAAGTATTCGCTTAAATCAATTACTTAACTCTGTCCCCAGGCAGTTCACGTCCTCTATGATGAATTTATTTATTTATTTACAGAGAAGCAATAGTTGCTTTCTCTTTCTTTTCTTTATATAATCTTATGTAACTTTTGAAATTATTTGCTTTTTAGTTTAACTAAAAATATAACTCAATTTATTATACGCATTTAAATATCTTTTTATATATATTTGTGTGCACGTGCAATTTCTTTGTATAGGTATGTGTGTGTGTGTGTGTGTGTGTGTGTGTGTGTGTGGATTTCTTTTCAATTGTAATTGTGACGGTTAACGAGAATAGCTAAATAAATACATCGTCCATTCACATAAGACAGGTTAGTGAGTGGGTGGATAGTGGTGGTCAATATATGAACATACATATATATATATATATATATATATATATAATAGAAATCATTCGATGTTTGTTCAATATTCGATGCTCTTCTGCAGTTTTATTTTATGTTCTTCTGCATTGAATTACACTGTACTCCGTACTACATGTCAGTAGTAGTAGTAGTAGTAGTGAAAGGATCATTCAAAAGGAGCGAGAGGAGGATAATAAAATAAAATCACGCACAATATCAATTTACTGATTGAAAATTTATTACAAAACTTAGTCAAGCATGTTGCCCGCAACTACAATTTCTGCTATATACACAATAGTCAATAATACACACACATATATATGCCTACTACTAAATATATATATATATATATATATAATGTACGTATGTACATATAATCTATTATTTCGAAACATATGTGTAAGTATATATATGTTTATGTGAAAGGAGAATTGTCGTTTAGAAATTACTTTTCTTTAAAATAACTTACCCTACCTACAAAGTGACATTTCCACTTACGTCACATAATAATTTTCAAAATGTTTTCCCGAAATTATAACAATTTGACCAAACATTTTCCTTAGATAGGCGTATATATATTGAGACGTTGTGAGTGCGTGGCTTGTTTGTGTTGTGTAACAAACATTATAGAATGCTTTCTATTTTTCAATTTTGTAAATGCTTGCAGACGAATTTCGACAATCAATGTACGGTAGAATGATGAATGATCTCAGATTTCGGCTCGTGGAGGATATTCCAAGAAAAACAAATGAATTACGCGTTCATGTGAAATAATTTTTGTTCTCTTCATTTACACCTTACACCGAGTTTTCTTTATTCTTTACCGCCATCGTAAAAAGCATACAAAAGCATAAAAAAAAGCATACTTTTGATCAGAGAGAGAGAGAGAGAGAGAGAGAGAGAGAGAGAGAGAGAGAGAGAGAGAGAGATAAGCCGGGTGACATAAGCATAAGCAAACATGCTATGGCGCTCTATGGTTGCCTAACGTGCCGGATATTCATGTTAGCCCCTCGCTCAGAATGTTCGTAGCCCCTCGAATAAATGCCTCAGCACTCAGTAATTCAGGCAAACGTAAGAAGTGAATTGTTTTACTGGCTTAATAAATGCCTTGGACCAACCATATAGAATATGGTAATAGAAATTGTAATAATTAGTGAAGCCATGGCCGAAAGTTCCAGTCTAACGTCTTGCTTGTGGATTTCTAGCTTTTCACTAACCGATGTCCTTGAAAAGTACCTACTTACGTTCACTTAAAGACATTTTCAAAGGAAAACAAGGCGTCAATGCCACTTTATCGAGACGACGGTTGGACGGATGCCATGGATTGTCTAATTAATTATTTCCTGAAAAGATTGCGGCTCCCGGATATCCTTTACATAATGCATTATTACACTAGTCTAGTAAAGCAGTTCTGCAAAGGACAAAATCAACGGTAGTCGAGCGGATCAACGTCCAAGCTGCATGGCAGAGGCATCAAATTCTCTCAATTTTTGCCGTCTCCTTAAATATGCATATTATTTATTTAGCATCATTCTGATGACAGGAAGATGACAGCTTCTGAGCGCTTCTCCCGAATTAAGCTTGGCAATCGCACCAGCTGTTGATAGTAGACGATGGTATCGATCGCTTGGCTATCTTGATATATATGATGCGCTTTCAATCCCAAACTTTCACCTTAAATGACGTCAAATCAGGCCCTTTCACTGTTTCTGCCATCATTTTTCTTGGACACGACCTATATGGCACGTCACGTCCACCTTTAATTCATATGATACCTAAACAAGTTTTTATATTTAGCGATAAGTGCATATGACCGCAAAAATTGATTGCCGATCAATGCTCAGTTCCGCAACGAGATCATAAGATGAAAAAATGCCAGTCTTTCTCAAGCTTGTCTTCAAAATTGTCTTCAAAAATGTGTTGTTGATTTCGGCACGTTGTTGCATCGTCAACAACACGAATTTATTCACGAAAAGTTCGAAAAGTTAGTTAGTGGTTTTAATGGTTGAAATGATTTAAATTTTCTTTAAACTAAGGCTCCAGAGTATGATTTGATAGGAATCGTGTTTACAAATTCACGCAACTGTAAGGACAACGATTGAGAAAACTGCCACGAAATATTTCTTTGCGTAATATTTCTGAAATGGTATTAAGGGTTGATCGTATCATGGGTTCATATGAGCGACGGCACTTATTACATTATCATGCATCAGAAAGCGGATGCAAACAGGAAGAGCGAGCAATTATGCCTAGATTTATTAATGGGAAATTTTTCATATATTTATCCGGAATTTCTCTATTCTACTAATAGAGAAATAAATGATTTCAATCTTCCGCTCGGCACTATGACCGATAAGAAACTCAACAGAATCGTCGTCGACACAATTTCATATTAATTGAAAGTCGGACAAGTTGTCGTTTAGGAAGTCCCTTAGCGATTGCCTGCAGACTTTTTATGAGAACAGCGATAAGATGTTAAAAAGCGTATTGTTGTATGTGCAATATCGAATATCGCTTGTAAATATGATACTATTTAACATCACCAGCGCTTACGAGTCCTATTGTCATTTGTGGAAATAAGTTGTGCCGGTTATTTGATGGGATTAACTTCCACTACATTAAATCGATTTTATTTTTTTAAGTTTGAAAAAATATTCTATTAATAATGCGTTTATCACGCACCGAACAACTGTTACAAATGCAAGCAAGTGTCAATTATGGTCTCATGAATGAACTAACAAGTTGAGAAGAAATTATTGTGTGTGTGTGTGTGTGTGTTTTTTTTTCCTTTATTTTTTTCTTTTTTTTTTTGGGAGTTGAGTTCATTGAACACAATTGTTGTTGGTCTTTTAAAGCATGCTTACTTAAATCGAATAAAAGAAAATTGGTTTTGCTATTCATTTTCTCTTTTCTTCTTTTTTAATAAATAAATATCAAACTAGCCACTCGATATAAGGAGCGTTCCCTAAAAAGAAAAAAAAAAAAAAAAAAAATATTTTAAAAATACTGTCAAAGCGAAATAAACGCATTCGCAATAAAAGGAAATTCTTTAGTTAAGCTAAACGATTGCAAAAAACGAGAAAAACTCCTCTTCAGACGCAGTGAAAGCGAAGCAAAGCAAAGAGAAGTGGTTAGTATGGGGTGTGTGTGTGTGTGTGTGTGTGGGGGGGATAAGAAGAAATCATAAAATAAAAAGCAAGTTAAAGAAAATTTGCATAATTTGTATGTTAAGCGAGAGACATTTATCATTCCCTCGTAATATGAAGTATAAGAAGTCAACAGGAGACTTTGAATACCATTTATATACCATAAACATAAGAGCGAAGCGTACGCAAGCAACGCACACGGTATGGATATGGGTATGGGTATGGGTATAAAAGAAAGTTTTCTGAATTTACATTTACCAGCGCGTTAAGTGTTCGTTTTCGTATTTGTTTTAACACCCAATCACTTAAAAATGGTTGAAAAGCGATTAGGTTGTCGACTCTACTCTCTTCAATCTGACAGATTTAAGATTTAAAAAAATAAAAAAGAAAAATTAATTCATTATTTTACTTTATTCGTTCGTTTTGATTTCAGGTTTGGTTTCAAAATCGACGAGCAAAGTGGCGAAAAACTGAAAAATGCTGGGGTCGAAGTACCATTATGGCCGAATACGGCTTATATGGGGCAATGGTTAGACATTCATTACCGTTGCCGGAGACAATTTTAAAGTCGGCCAAAGAAAATGACTCAGTAGCACCATGGCTGCTAGGTATGGAGAATAAAAGTAAATGCAACAAATGTATCAAAAATCCATCATAAACTTATTATTTATTTTTTTTCTCATTATTTTAAGAATTTTCATGAAATTTGCAAAACAATGAAAAATCGCGCCTCAAAACGCATTTCAATTACCCGCTATTTGAATGGAATTTGTTTTTTTTTTTTTTTTTTTTAATTAACCATGTATATGCAAAAGTAAAGAAGGCTGTAGAGGACGGTAGATAAGAGACGCAACTGATTCCAAAATGGACCTTTAGTGGGTGTGTTTAATGGAAATATTTTTTGCTTTGTTTTTTTGTTTTTTTTAAATTAGGAATGAATCGAAAATATCTTTTTAACTTGATGTAAGCACACGAATTCGCAATATCATGTAAACGAGTAAGCGTGGACATGATTACATAAGCTGACAATGTCATGCATTGAGTACTGAGTATTATACGCAAAAATTGCAAAAACCTTAGTATATATTTAGCTTATACCAGGTAATCGCATATATAATAAAATATCCTTTTTAATCGGCCAGGCGAGACGTTGCAACAAAACGCAACTTTTGAACATATTTTTGAAGCGTGACTAATGAGCAACTAATACGATTTGATGAAAGGAAAAGAAAAGCAAAGCAAAGTAGCGGAGATATAATGAGATCATATGTTTCAAATTTCTCTCCCACATATAGCGAAACTTTCATAATAACTACACTCTTACACCTTACTAATACAAGTATCAATAATGATGGCACAGACTTGTTCAACTCGCCCGTCGATAGAACTTTGTAGAGTTGAGCGCAAATTCTTGAAAAAAGGGGGAAAGAGAAAGCATTCATTCAATTAAATCGTCGACCGCACCGCATCGCATCGCATCGCACAAGACGATTAACGTTGCCTTATAAAGCGGCCTTCGGGGGTTAGTGAATGAATGTTCGATGAAAGTTTGAGAAAAGGGTGCTACAAGGTAGCTTAACTTAAATCTGCTATTTATGGGTTAATAATCGCTTAATAATGCAAATGCAAAATGCAATTTTATGCTCTCATCTCAAACAAAAGGATATACCAATAATCATTACAAGTCGTATAATCGTTTCAAGTTTTTCAAAGAAGTCACCCTTACCCCCCTGCCCCCTGTTCATCGCAGCCCATTCTATTAAACATTATCTGTCTCTTTATTCTCTCAACGATTTATATAAAATTTAATTAACTTTTGTTTGCCCTTGTTGTTGTTGTTGTTGTTGTATTTTATTTATTGTCTACTTTAAGTGGCTTAAAATGCTATTGAATATTGCGGGTTCTCTTTATCTCTTGCCCTTGTTATGCGCGTCGCCTCTTTTATTTAATAAATATAAAATTTATGAAACGACTTTTATTAGAAATTAACTTGACATTAAGACTTTAAATCAGCAACGGTGACGTAGAAAATTTTTGACTGGGGTCAGAAAGTGGACAATGCGTAAACTGACATATATCGCACATATTAAAAGTTGAGAGAAGAAATAAATATAACCAGAAAGAGAAAGAGAGAGAAAGAGAGAGAAAGAGAGAAAGAAAGAGAGAGAGAGAGAGAGATAAAAAGGATTAACTTTAAAATTTGAAATTTTAATTTGATCTTTAAATTTTTTTGGCTTTTTCCTTAGGTATACATCGCAAATCGATCGAAGCTCAAGATGCGTTTAAAGATGACTCCGGGGTTAGTGATCATGATGATGAGTCCGCAGAAACTAAATCTCACGAGGATACGACACACGGTGGTCAACGACGTCACTCAACATCTTCAACAGAATCATTAAATGTAGTTGGCTCCACTCCGCCTCCTTTATTATCAGCAAAGCAGCCATCGTCATTATCACCGGCTACCACGCCGACAGCAACTACCACCACAATTTCAACACCATCACCACACATCGATTTAAATTCGCCATCGTCGTCGAATAGTCAACAATTATTTTCAGGCACAAGATCACCCCAACATCAAGGATATGGATCGGCGACAGGTGTAACGCAACAGAAGGCAGCCATGTACCATAATACTGGGTCGCAACAATCCACGTCATCTGTTGCAACTACTCCACCATCGTATCATCCTCTCTTGGATGCAGCCAATGCCGGAGCTGGTGTAGCGGCTGCTGCTAACAATAAAGATTTTCATATGCTAATGAATACAGCAGTGGCAGCAGCCGCTGCAGCTGCTGCGCACGGTGGTGTAAGTGATATATATACCTCTGGGCTTATGCAAGATCCCGATACTTTCAGGTATACATTAAACATTTAAAAAAAATCCATTTCAATTTTCTCAATCATCTCATCTTTCATTTATTCACTTTTTTTTTGTTTTTTTTTTTTTGTTTTGTCTCTTTCTAATAACAGAAACAACTCAATTGCGTGTTTAAGAGCCAAAGCTCAAGAGCATCAAGCCCGTTTGTTGAATAGCAGCCTCTTCTTGCAAGTGCGCTCCTTTGCTGGCTTGCAGCAACAACATCAAAATAATAATAATAATAATAATAATAATAACAACAACAACACCAATACCAACAATAATTTTACAATAACCAATAAAAATTATGATTTAAAAGCGCTAGCCACTGATGCGGAATTAACGCTTGCAGCAGAGCAGAGGCAATGCTTGGATGAGAAATCAACAAAAATTAGAAACGATATAAAACGTATTTAAGGCGTATCAAGTGCAAAAGGAAACGATCTCTAATGAAACCAAAATGATGTGAATAAGCAAAGAAAAGCACATGAAATGTGTGTTCATATACATATATATAAAATTTTTAAATTATAATTAATTATAGAAATCGAACACAAGAATTTTTTAATAACATTATCTATATATATATATACACACACACACGCAAACACACACAAACACACACACACACACACACAAACATTTTCTCTTTAACGATTACACATATTCTTTTTTTTTATGTCTTTCTCTCTTTAGTAAGTAGTTTTTCAATTACACATTATTCCCTAAAACTTAGTGTTATTTTTTAACTTATATGTATATTTTCGAGTTTTAAAATAACTTTTCGATTAGCAAAAGAAATGAAAATAAAAATCATTCTAAATAAAGCGATTGATCGATCGATCACCTGCAAATAAATGATTAATAAAGATAAGGTAACGATAAATGAAATTATCCTTACGACGTCACAATCGGTCAAAGGTTGCGAGGTGTGGTCTTTGGTTTATCAATTTTTCGCTCAATAAATGGCTTAATAAGAAAACTAGCTTTTATTTATGAGTTCGACTAACGCATCTGCCAAACACTTTTCAACATTATTTCGGAAATGACGGCGTTATTGACGATATGAAGATCACGCGTAGAGCAATAGTCACCTTTCCAACTTTCCAATGCTAGTTGATTGATTTTTCTTCTCATTGCTGTTAACGACTCATATAAATCATGGGATACGGTGATTATTGCCCTTTTTATCTAGCTTATGGCAAAGAAATTATTCATCCCATGAACATCCGCATCAGCATCAGTATCGGTTCATAATTAAAAGCTTACTACCATCGCCAGCTATCGCCATAATGGCGTTAATCACTTTGTTGCCATTTGCCAGTTAAGTTAAGTTGAAAAGATGAACTCTGCAAAAAAATAGTGAAAAATAAATTAAGCAACAATTAGTAGAGACAGAGACATTTTTATACCCTACACCACTTGTGGTCTAGGGTAACAAGTGCTTGCATTTATTTTGATCATTTTTTCATTTGAAACAAGCATTTACTGAGAAAAACTGGTACAATATATACAGTAATCAAAATATTTTCAATAATTTTCTACAAATTTTTCTCAACTTTCTGGCAGCATGTCGATTCGTAATAGATTCACATTCGATCGTCAGTGACAATACGCCACAGAAAACTTTTCACTTTTTGACTGTCAAGCAATTCAACTGCGATGTTGAAACTGGAATGATAGTTATTTTCCCTCTTTTCGAGCTTTCCCTTCGCATGTAAACGTGTAGAAACGTTTTTGGTTTATCAACTGCTAAAATATTCGAAAGGTCTTTGAGAGTTTGAACTGGCTTTCCCTCCAATAAGACTTGCAAGACACTGTCGTCGAACTTTTTCGGTATTCCAGGCCGTTCTTTATCCTTGACATCAACGTCACCACTTTTAAAACGTTGAAACCAAAACCGAAAATTGGGATATGATGGAGAAGCATCACCATAAACTTTTAAAAATCTTTGATGGACTTGGGCAGCAGATTTCTTCAAAGCAAACAAAGAAAGTAATGCAAGGTGAAAAGACAATTTCGATCGATCCATGGTTAGCTTCGCTGTCTCCTGAATATCTCAATAATTCTAACTGAAAACTGTTATCTTGGAAAGAGAAAGACATGTCAAAATCATCGAATTTGACCGTTATGTGCACTAGTATTTCTCATTACTTTATCATTTTTACCTGTAGGAATCGCTGATCAAAATTAATGCAATCATCAAATACATCCCATTCCGATTAATTAGCTCTTTAACTGAATTCAAAATATCTTAAAATTCAGGCCGAAAATAAAGTTCTGCTTGAAAGCAGTGAACTGCACTGGCCATTTGGCGCCTCTTTGCACTATTTCATATACCCATATTCAGTTTAGCTTATGAGAACATGTTATTATTTTTGTACATAAGCAGCCCGTTTTTTATTAAAACCCAGAAAAAAAACAGATTTTTTTCTCTATTTCAATTGACACCACTCAGTTATTGCTATCTTGATTAAAGCGCCTCACTACCAAAATTGAAGTAATAAAATAATCTTCTACAATAACTTAATAAGCTCTCGTATGGCTTAATTGTCAAATGAATCTGACAGATAGCTTGGCGCTGCCCATTCATATCATTTCAAATCACATTATTAATAGATCTTAATCAAAAAAACAAAATTGCGTTGGTTCCATGTGCTGTGAGTGAAGAACAATGATTTTTAAGAATTCGGTTAAAAGTTCGCTACTCAATTGAGCCTGAACTGAACCGCTCTACCAACTGCAAGCAACAGTGTTCAGTAGCTAGAGGGCTTTTCAGTTATGCGATTAACAAACTAATTATCAGAAGAGTGGGCTTTCAGGTTAACTCCATAGTTACCCGGCAGATATTAAATATTTGAATGCTTCGATAAATAACTTTCTGCCTGAATTGCTGTTAGTGTCTTACGGGAGCAGAAAAGTCCCATCAAACCTGGAATGTAACATTATCAATCATCCAGATGCATTAGAAACTTTTCTGACATTATTTACATTAAAGATTAAAAAATGAATTAGTTATGAGACACGGAGCTGCGCAGAACATCAAAATCACACTCAATGAAATATCATACTAACTGTTATACGGCAACAGCTTAAGATAAACGGTTTGCTTTTATAATAAATCGAAAAAAAGAAAAATTGGTTATTTTTTATTTACTGCGTAAAGTTATTTTTCAGGATTTTCATGCTGCTTTCGATGATTTTTTGTAATTTTTGCAGCATTAAATATTAATACAAAAAATACTTATTTAATAAAAATTACATTCCAAAAAGAAAAAGAAAATTCTATGCAACCAATTCATGTCGATATTGCAGTTCACAAAAGTGCATGAATATTACTCCGAAGAACTGTGGATCGCATTGCGAATAAATGTAACTCTGCTTTAAAGTGACTGCATTAAGTGGAAACCAACCCTGTTTAAATAATAAGAAACAATAAATATGAAATAGCCAAATAAATGCATTTCTCAAGAATATGAAAAAGGAGCACATTGTTCAGTTCATTAAAAATGCCTAAGGAACAATTTCGTGGTGCGGATTTGATAAAGAAAATGTATATACCTTGAAATGTGTGTTTGCAGAAACGAGAAATTTGTCTTAAAAGACGGTTGTTGTTTATTTCAGATCACATGTGGAGTTCAGCATCAGTAGCCCCGAAGAAATTCAACAAGAGTCCCATTTGCGTATAGTGTCGAAGAACTTGTATCAAGGTCAACGTCGGCCAGTTCCCTATGGTGTTTTAGATCGTCGTATGGGTGTTAGCAGTAAGGACGCTACTTGTGAGACATGTGGCCAAGGTTTAAACGAGTGTATAGGTCATTTCGGATTTCTGGACTTGGCATTACCAGTATTCCATATAGGTCATTTTCGTTCTACCATTAATATATTACAAACTATTTGTAGATCATGTTCTCACGTCATGTTGAAAGAATCTGATAAATACATTTTTTCAAAGAAATTATTGAATCCAAACTTCAGCTATTTAGCTAAGAAGGCCTTACATGCCCAAATATTAAACAAGGCTAAGAAACAATTGAAATGTCCGCACTGTAACGCTACTAATGGAGGTGTAAAAAAGGGTCCTGGTCTATTGAAGATTTTACATGACCCTAACAAGAGTAAAAAGGCTGATGCTCTCTTGAGTAAAAATTTAGATGAGTTACTACAAGCCACGGATAGCAATCGAGAATTAAATCAAATGCTCACTAACTATAATCAAGTCGAAGAATTGAATCCTTTAACAGTACTGGAATTGTTCAAAGCGATACCAAAGTCTGATATTGCTTTGCTTGGGATGACTAGCGAAGGAGCCAGCCCTACTAATTTAATAGTTACTCGTGTATTTGTCCCGCCAGTTTGTATAAGACCATCAGTAATATCTGAAGTCAAAGCTGGAACGTAAGTTAAAAAGAGATACCATTCGCTTTTCTTAACATTAATGTCATTTTCCATTAGCACTGAAGACGATTTAACAATGAAACAAAGTGAAATTTTATTGATTAATGATGTTATACAAAAGCATATGACTGGTGGTGGCAAGATCGAGCTAATTCAAGAAGATTGGGATTTCTTGCAGCTGCATGTAGCCTTGTACTTTCACAGTGAAATATCGGGTATACCCCTTAATATGGCACCGAAAAAAACAACTCGAGGATTAGTGCAGCGCTTAAAAGGTAAACAGGGTCGCTTTAGAGGAAATCTGTCCGGAAAACGCGTAGACTTCTCGGGACGCACTGTGATCAGTCCAGATCCCAATTTGATGATAAATCAAGTCGGTGTTCCAGAGCGAGTGGCCAAAATTTTAACCTATCCTGAACGCGTTAACCCAGCCAATATACATAACATGAAAGAGCTTGTAAAAAATGGTCCTAATGTTCACCCGGGTGCTAATTATGTACAACAAAAGGGTTCCACCTTCAAGAAATATTTAGCTTATGGTAACCGTGATAAGGTGGCTCATGATCTTAAATGTGGCGATATAGTTGAGAGACATTTATGCGATGGTGATATAGTTTTATTCAATCGCCAGCCCTCGCTTCATAAAATGTCGATTATGTGTCATCAGGCCAAGGTACAGCCTCAGCGTACTTTCCGTTTTAATGAATGCGCTTGTACGCCTTATAATGCTGATTTTGACGGGGATGAGATGAATTTGCATTTACCACAAACGGAAGAAGCTCGAGCCGAGGCTTTAGTCTTGATGGGCAATAATTCAAACTTGGTTACACCTAAGAATGGTGAAATTCTAATAGCTGCCACCCAGGATTTTATTACCGGTGGTTATCTATTAACGCAAAAAGATGAGTTCCTTACAAAAGAGCAGGCCATGCAATTGGCTGTTTGTGTTCTAGCAGGTCCAGATGCGCGTATGAAAATTGATATGCCGCCACCAACAATACTAAAACCACGTAAACTGTGGACTGGCAAGCAAATATTCAGTTTATTGCTGCGGCCGAATAAAGAATGCCCTGTTAAAGTTAATCTTATAACTAAAGGGCGCAATTATACGACAAACTACGATCTGTGCGTAAAGGATTCCTGTAAGCTACTAATCGTACTTGAATCAATTTGAAAGTAATTTCATTTTAATCAAATTTCTGTTTTATAGGGGTAAATATACGAAATTCAGAATTGCTGTGCGGTTCAATGGACAAAAGCACTTTGGGCTCAGGCACAAAGAATTGCGTTTTCTACGTCATTTTAAGAGACTTCGGAGAAAGTTACGCCACCAAGTGCATGTGGCGTTTGGCGAGAGTAAGTCTTTTTCAATTATCGTTTGTAAACAAACTTTGAACAATTTGACAATTAAAAATGCCTCATGGCATTCCCATTACAAAAACAATCAATCGGTCACGTGTGGGACAAGAGTTTGTACTTAAAAAAAAAAATATATATATATATATATATATATAAATGCTTGTGAATGAGTTTGAAAAAAAGAAAAGAAAAACTCTTTTTTAATATTTTTAATGGATTTCTGTTTGAACTAACCAATAATTCTTATCTTATCGAAAATTTCTCACAGTTTTGTTAGCAACATTTTCTACTTTTGTTTTAAATCACTTTGATTACAATTGATTTACAAATAGGAAAGTTTTCTAAACATGTTTTTATTTAATTTTCATGCCTGTGGTATTGGTGATAAATGTGAGGAACGAAGTCAAACGCACGAAGCCTGAGGGAAGACCTTCGGTACATCTATCCTCGGCTATAAATGAATTAATACCAATTTGCATTATTTCATTGTTATTGCCGCGGGCTAATAGAGGTCCTCCTGAGTCGCCACTGCATATACCCTGATTTGAATTATTGCGACCTCGCGCACACATCACAGAATCTATCACCACGTTGTCCCCGTAAACTCTCATGCATTCACTATTGTCAATAATTTCAACCTGCGCCCACAGTAACACTTTAGAGTAGTCCAAATATTCATCATCGGTCAGACCGAATCCGGCTACAACTCCTACATGCCCAATAAAAGATGAGCTAGCGTAGGCCGAAGTGACAAGAGGTATTGGTTTTATAGTGTTGCTATAATTTAAAATCTTTGGCAAACGTATTAACGAAACGTCATTGTGCAAAGTCTCCGGATCATAATTAGGATGCTCGTGAAATTCGGTAGCAATCATAGTCACAGCTCTAAAGTCATCAATTAGTACGATACCAAACATTAGAAATATAGAACTAAGAGAATGCGTACAGTGGGCCGCGGTTAAAACCCAACATTCATTCATTATAGAACCTCCACACAACAAATCATCGAATTCATCTTTCTTCAAAATAACTTGCCAAGGCAATTGGCCGCTTACAGCAGGAGTACCTGAAACAATGCGACTTTGCTAAAAATATATAACGCCGCATAAAAAATTTAAATTTTCAAAATATTATTCAAAATTGTTTACCCATTTTCCAATTTCATTTTCCGCAGACTTTTTCGAAAATACGGAAGGATTCGTAACAGCGGAATCGTGAGCAATGCGCTTATGCTATTCGAGAGGAGTAAAACATGAGATTGAATTTTCATTTCTTCTCGTGCTTTTCTTACCAATTTTCCACGATCCACTAGCTGTGAATTTGGGTCGGATAGAACTGCTCTCAAAAGCAGACAGAATATAAATATTTTCATTCTTAATTTCAAATTATCGAAGAAGAAGAACATATAAATATCTGAATCCCTGAGATACTTAAATTCTTTACTGCTATTTTTAAACGATACTCACGATCGCACTTGCAGTGCGCTACTGTGCTATCAAAACCAGCCGGTATTAGATAAAGTGTTGTTCTGCGAGTCTCATATAATGCCCTGTTTTCTTTGACATTTCTCTTCTTATCTTGGATCTGAAATTAGTTATTTCTTAACAGTAATTAAGTTATAAACGTGTAAGAAAATTGTAGTCGCATTGAAATGATTACTTGAGTACGCATCGCTGCGACCGCCACAAAATTAGTAATCGGCTTGTTAATGGTAATTGTAGGCCCATCCATGCGTCTCTAGAATATTTGCTACACATATCCGTTATGTATATGTATGTAAAAAATCTTGTAAAATCGTTAGCAAAGCTTTTATTGAAATTATTTTGATGAATCAATCAATATATATATGGGTTATATTACGGCTTTCAAGACTACATTTTTGCAACTTCAAAAACACTTAACAAGACACGGTAGACAAACGATAGATCGACTCTGATTGACTTTATGAAATTTTCGATTTTCTTTTTCTGAATGATTGCAAATGAAGTAACAAATTTAACATACTAACGACTTCCGGCTGGGTATAAAAATTGTATTACGACAACGACAAATGAAAAGCTTGTACCATTTTATGGCTTGTTACTATGGAAGTAACACAATTGAAAATGTGGAAAATTTCTAAAAGACTTACGATGATCCTTCTATCTGTTGCATAAACGTGTTTAGTTGTATGTATTCATTTTTTTGTCTTTTTTGAGAATATCCCTTAAAAAAATCTTTAACTGCTTTTACATTGCATCATGTAGATCGCTTCGTATTTTATACAAAATCGTGGTTTCTCGTTCGGGATCAGTGATGTTACACCCAGCGCAAAATTGCTTGAGGAGAAGCAAAAATTACTCGAAAAAGGTTATGCTAAATGCGATGAGTACATCTTAGAGATGAAGAAAGGGACGTTACAATGCCAGCCCGGCTGTACTCCCGAACAAACTTTAGAGGCCGTTATGCTGCGCGAACTCTCCAGTATACGTGAACAGGCAGCCAAAGCTTGTTTTCGCGAATTGCATCCCACTAACAGTGCGTTGATTATGGCTTTATCTGGTTCGAAAGGATCTAATATTAACATATCCCAAATGATAGCCTGCGTTGGTCAACAGGCTATCAATGGTAAACGGGTACCGAATGGCTTCGAAAATCGAGCTCTGCCGCATTTTGAGAAGTTTTGTAAGTAATTTTCAAAGTCCTTTCAATACAACGCTTCTCATATTTTTCTTTTGGCTGGTTATAGCGTCTATTCCCGCTGCTCGTGGTTTTGTGCAAAGCAGCTTTTTTTCGGGTCTATCACCAACCGAGTTCTTTTTTCATACAATGGCGGGCCGTGAAGGTCTAGTAGATACCGCCGTTAAGACCGCTGAAACTGGTTATCTGCAGAGGCGCTTAGTAAAGGTTAACTCGATTATATGTAACTCTTGAACAATTATTATAACACTTCGCTTTGCAGTGTCTAGAGGACTTAGTAGTTCACTATGACGGTTCGGTACGTAATACTATTGGAGAAATCGTTGAATTGATTTACGGTGGGGATGGTTTAGATCCTGTTTATATGGAAATTAAGAATAAGCCCGTTGATCTTATACGTCAAATGAATCATTTACGTGCCGTGCATCCCTATCGCAATGAAAAACCTTTAAAGGCTGAGCATATAATACCGAAAACTAAGGAAATTTTGGGTGAAGAGGAATTTGTCAGTAGTCGAGAAGATTTTCGAGAAACTGTTATGTACGTTACAATGCATTCAAAATTGTCGATCAACTCGTAAAGCCCTTCCTATTTTGCAGCGCCTTCATTAATAAAGTTGCGGAAAAAATTAAACAAATTCAGGATAAATACGCTAAACATCATAAACTGGGTCAGGAAATTGAACGTTTAACTGAGGGCCAAATACGTACATTCATGCGTTGGGTTAATGATAAATATAGCCGCGCCGTGACTGAACCAGGCACGGCTGTTGGAGCGGTAGCTGCTCAAAGTATTGGAGAGCCTGGCACTCAAATGACACTTAAGACGTTTCATTTTGCTGGTGTATCATCTATGAATATTACGCAAGGTGTACCGCGTATTGTCGAAATTATTAACGCAACGAAAACAATATCAACTCCAATTATAACCGCTGAGATAAATAATAATACGAATATTGAATTTGCTCGCAAAGTAAAGGCCCGGATAGAGAAAACAACTTTAGGAGAAATCTCATCGTATATAGAAGAAGTTTATCGATGTAATAATTGTTATTTAGTGATACGTTTAGATCTGAATCGCATCAAGGTATTGGGCTTAGAAATTAATGCCGAAACCATTAGATATTCGTGAGTTGTGTTCATTTTCTTCATTGATATTTGGAATTTACAAAATTGTTTTTTTTAGTATTTGCACGTCAAAATTGCGAATCAAACCCGCTCTAGTGGATATTGTAGGCTCTTCCATTATTGTAATACGCGTTGATTGCTCAAAGCATGGTGCCGCCCTGAATGCCGAACTGCAGCGTTTGTCAACAACGGTGCAAAACGTAGTCGTAGCTGGTCTACCAAAAATTTCACGGGCTGTTATTGCCGTTGACGATTCTCGTCAGCCTGCCACATATAAACTATGTATCGAAGGAGCCGGTTTGCGTGATGTTATGGCCACGTATGGCGTTATAGGCACTCGCACAAAGAGTAATAATATTTCGGAGGTTTATAGTACTTTGGGCATAGAAGCGGCACGTACCACCATTATGAGTGAAGTCACTGAGGTTATGGAGGGGCACGGTATGAGTGTAGACCACCGCCACATAATGCTTCTGGCTAGTCAGATGACTTCGCGGGGCGACGTATTAGGAGTAACACGCCACGGATTGGCCAAGATGAGGGAAAGCGTTTTCAATTTGGCTTCGGTAAGTTGAGAAAATACGTTTGAGTTATAAAGAAAAAATAAAAATTTTCGTTGCTTAGTTTGAGAAAACATCGGATCATTTATTTGATGCCGCCTATTTCGGGCAAACTGACGCTGTAGATGGAGTTTCCGAACGTATCATATTGGGTATGCCTGCCTCAATAGGCACAGGGCTGTTTAAATTAGTACATAATCATGAAGAGACAACATTGCCGGAAGTGCAACCACCTATCTTCAGTTCGTGGGCAACATGATGGAAATTTCCATTTAACAAAACCGCAAAATTCCATTAAAAGCTTTAATCAATTTTCTTTACGTTTGAATTTAAATATTTGTTTTTTATTTCAAACTAAAAGAAAAGAGAATAAATGGAGGATATTTTCCAGCATAAAGGAAAAACCAAATGCTAAATGCTTTTAAAATCTTCATATATTTAGAAATAAATTCGCACCGCCTCGTCAGCATTTTGTTCCACTGGGCAATATGGACACTTCAGTATATGACCGTTACTAAGCTTATGTAAAGCATCATTCGATATAACATGACCACAGGTTAACTTCTTAGGGGGGTTTTCTTCAGTGGTCTGTTGTCTCAAAATCGGGCAAGCGAATATTGAATGGTAACGATATTCAGGATCTAAATCAATCTCGATAGGTAACTCATCACGACCGCACCAAATATTAAGAACTTGCCTAGATTGCATAACCTGCAGAGAGAATAGGAGAATTTAATCTATTTATGTAACTAATCGGTAACCTTTTCAATTACCTGCTTAATAGCGAGCAAAGCAGTCAGCGCAGTACAGCCTGCGTTAATAACCACCGACAAAGCTGAATTCTTACTAATGCCTAATGTATTGCAGGCATCTTTTAAAAAGACATACGATGCCTCAGTCCACATTTCGGTCGATATTAGATGTTTATACGGAGAATTCTCAATTCCCAACGGTAGATATATGAAGCAACCCATCAAGTTAGGAATTTCACTTTCGAAACGATCGACAAATTTGTAAAAATTATTGCGGGCATAAACTATGGCCTCAGTTTGGGCAGACATTCCTCGCGAAATGATTTGCAAAAAAGCTAAGCGATGTAACTTAAATTCCAAGGAAGAATTCTTGGCTATTAGTTCATTGGAATATCGTGCAGTCCATTCCAAAGCCGGTTTTAAATTATGCTGTTGTATAGCCTTCCATATGCGGTAAATTTCAGCAAAGCTACTTTCCGATTCAAAGACCTCACGGGCCATATCTTCAGGCATATTGGATTCTTCGATCAACAGCCGAGCTACGTCATCCATGCCCTGGCGGCAATAGTGCTTCGCCATCACTTTATTTAGTAGCATCATATTCTCCCCATCTTGCAAAGCATCAGTACGCGTGGTCGCCGTGAAATCGGAAATAAAATTGCGATCAATCACTTTGCCCACTTTGGAAACGGCGCCGTGCAGTTCCTTATGATTAGTCGATAGACGCTGCAATTTCTCATTGGCTTTCTGTAAAGCCTCAGTTATAATAGCAATCTGGCTATCGGTCAAGCGTGGTGGGGAAGCTTAAATTTAAAAAAAAAAATTACTTAAAATATTAGGCGTGAAACTCGTGGCACCTACGCTCCATTTCCACTTGCATATCTGCTTCATCGGCCATCGGGTCGTCAGTATCGACTTGAGTGCCAGTATTAATCGTACTGCCAGTCATTTCTTGTTCTGCTTTGCTTAGAGCTCTCATAAGTTCTTCTAGCAAAGTAGCAACATCATTAATTTCAGCCGCAGCATTTTCTTTAATCTCTGTAAATTTATTAATAACGCGATCAAGCTCCTTTTCCACCGCACTTATAGCCTCAAGTTCAACAGAGGAAGACGACGCCATATCTACGTTCAAATTTAACAAAATTGTCCCAAAATATAATATTGATATTTGTAAACAATTTTTCTTAATCCTTAATTTTTTTACTGGATCAATACAATACTTCGTTGTTTTCTTATTTCCAAGACTAAGAAGAGAAAAAGATTGTTTTTGTTTTCCTTAGAATGCACTTTTCAGCATATTACAGCAAGCAAACATTTTTTTTTTATTATCAAATTAAATGGTTAAATGGTAACGCCAGAACGTAATGAATTGTAATTGAATGAATGGTAACGTCAGCTGTGTTAAATAGCAAAGAAGTAGTGGAAACCTCTGTTAAAATGCAAAGCCGTCGGCAAAACAAAGCGACACCTCTGTTAACATTCATTTGCATTATATTCCATTATATTCGTTCCCCCAATCCCTAAACTGCGTGTTTTAATAATTCAATTCGTCTCTGGTTAGCTCATCTTTTTCCTCATTCCTTTACGTTGAATAAAAGATAAGATTTTATTCTTTTATAGCAACTCAATTACAAAAAAACAAAACAAAATTATTCTTGCCCTGAAAGGAACAACTATACTAAATACTAAAATTGGTTACGTATTATCACAACAGCAGGGCACTAACAATATTTGACACTAACTAGGTTTCATTTTCAAGTTTCGACATCGAGTTTTGAAATTTTGGTTTATTCTCGATATCGCTATATAAGGTGAGAAAAACAAGCAACGAATGCAATTTAATTTTGATTTAAGATATGATCTTCAAATCAAAGCAATTAAGCGTTTGCTTTATTTCACTTCGTTAGTGATGTCTACCTCTCCACTCGATCTTTGAAGCTCATTTTCGTCATTCTTCATTTTAATAATCAAATAAAAATTTAGTTTGCTTTTATATTCATTTCTTGTATTATTGTTTTTCATATATTTGTTATTTACATTAATGTTGATTTCTTTATTTTTACTCTTCAAACCATATGGTTTTGTTTACATTTATATCAATTTCCTTATTTTATCTTACCACATATGAAGGTAGTGAAGTTTACCAATGTGTACCACTTGGCATATTTAGTCCGCAAATAGGAGTAACGCTTTGGTGTATCAGTTCACTATGATTGCAAAAATTATTACACATATACCTTATTAATGGAAATTTTTTAAATGAACTGATCTTAACATATTAGGAAGTCGCAAAAAATGCTTAACAGCAGGAACCATGATTGTGTTCTGTCTTCTCTGCAAATTATATACATAATTTATAAATATATTAAATTTGTAAAATGTACTAATTGAATGTGTCGCTCAGACGTGGGAATATAAGCAAAACTTCATTGTGTTAAGCCTAAGAGGAATTAGAAAGTCACTTGTCATACGGCAGCTCCATAAACTATGTTTTCGGCAATTGTTTTGTCTGGTTTGTGATAGATTTGACCATTTGTGTAAAGATTTTTTATCAAGACAATTTTTTCAAATAAAAATGAGTGAAAAACGCAAATATAAGAAATCTGTAAGTACTTCGAAATATACTTTATCCAAAAATATATTCATATGCAACTACTCCATATCGATTACGTAGAAAGAGGAGATTGCTAAAGAGTTCGATTTGCCGGAGCGCAAATCTAAAATTGCCACAATCATGAAGCAAGATGGCCAAGCTTACTGCATATGTCGGTCTTCTGACTGCTCTAGATTTATGATGTAAGTTATTTATAGTAGCTAAAGTTGTCCAAACGTTCCATATAAATTTATTTAGAGGCTGCGATGGCTGTGAGGAATGGTATCATGGTGATTGTATAAATATTACGGAAAAAGAGGCCAAGCACATTAAACATTATTATTGTCAAAAATGCAAAGAAGAAGATCCCACTTTACAAACAGTATTTCGTGTTGTGCCAGTCGAAAAATCTTTAAATCCTACAATTAGTATTCTATCAAATGAGCAGGAGAAACGTAAAAAGTCGAAGGATTTTATAAGAGATTCAAATTGTTCCTCCATAGTTATACAAAATTGCCCAAAAATTAATCGATGTGGGTCTTGCGAAGGTTGCAGAACTCCTAATTGCGGTATATGTGAGGCTTGTCGTATCCGTGTAGGCCACAAGCCTCGCTGTGAACGCCGTGTTTGCCAAGTACAATTACATGCTCAGTTAACGGGCCATAGCCAAACCCAGAGACCGCGAAAAAAGGAGAAACCCTTAAAAGATCGACAACGCAAACGTAAACGTTCTCTAACCCCCGAACTTTTTATCAATCCTGAGTTGGAAGGTATGCGACAATGTTACGGACCCGGGTGTCATAAAAATGCCAGACCTCAGTCGAAATATTGTAGCGACGAGTGTGGCATAAATCTGGCCACCAACCGTATATTTCAAGTTTTGCCTCAACGAGTGCAAGAATGGAATTTGACTCACTGCCGTGCCGAGGAGGAAAATAAAAAACAATTGGATCAAATCCGAGCTAAACAAGCTATGGTAAGATTTGCTCTTGCTGAATTGGATAAAAGACATATGGAACTCGATATGATTGTGGAACGAGCCAAACACAGTACGCTAGATCCCAATCGACTGCAAGACAACGGCGATATAGAGGATGAACAGTCCATGTACTGTATTACATGCGGCCATGAGATACACTCGCGTACTGCTATTAAACACATGGAGAAGTGTTTTAATAAGTACGAATCTCAAGCTTCCTTTGGAAGCATATTTAAAACTCGAATAGAAGGAAATTCAATGTTCTGCGATTTTTATAATCCAGCCAGTAAGACTTATTGCAAGCGTTTGCGAGTTCTATGCCCTGAACACTGTAAAGACCCCAAAATTGGCGATAATGATGTATGCGGTTGTCCTTTGGTTGAAAATGTTTTCAATCCCACTGGTGAGTTCTGCCGAGCTCCAAAGAAGAATTGCTTCAAGCATTACATGTGGGAAAAGATTAGAAGAGCTGAGGTCGATTTAGAGCGCGTGAGGCAATGGCTGAAAATGGATGAGCTGTTGGAACAGGAAAGACAAATACGCCATCAAATGGCTTCTCGTGCTGGTGTTTTAGGTTTAATGTTGCACTCCACATATAATCATGAAGTTATGGAAGAATTATGTCGTCAACAGCAGCAACAATTTGCAGCAGTACAAAAACAAAAGCAATTATTGGAAAAACAACAACAAGAGCTTCAAATGCAAGCATTCCAACATCAATATCAATAAAAGCAAATAAAGTTTATTTCTGGAAATAAATCGCGACTTCAACTGAAGAATATTTTTCATTTTAGACGATGTCTTTTCTCTCGCCTAGAAGATAAGGCGTTTTCGCTATAGAGGATAGCAGACTCAATTTCACTTCATCTGAACATCCCTCAGAGTTTACATAAAGAGTTTCGTGGCGGTGCCGTAGATAGTTTTCAATCCTCTTTTCGTGTGCATTATAAAAAGACATCTAAAATGAAGCGACGTGTAAAACATTCAAAAGGGAATCTCAGTAAAGATTAAAGAAGGCACAATTATTTACTTCATGGTTGTAATAAGAGCAAGTATGGTAAGGTGCGCCTATATTTGCTGAATTCAGTAAACGTTTCAAGCAAATCTTCTCTGAGCACTTCATGTAGACTAATTTATTTGGTGGCACCTTCCAATGCTCCATTATTTCCTTAAAGTCATTTACGGTATTCGGAAAATTGACCAATACCCAACCTCTACGCAAGGCATCTTGATGTATTATACGCCGAGATATTATGTCAGCTAAGGCCTTTCCTTTGGCATCACAGTTATTATAATAGAAAGATCGCTGTAGCTCTCGAGCTAATGGGTCATTGGGATTTTCATCATCACCACGTAGACATTGGTAAATTAAATTTTCAGCATCAACTGCATAAGATAAAGCAACTAAGCCCTATAAAGCCAATCGTAAAGTATTTTGCAGAATTTACTATAAACCAAATTGAAACGTTTTGCTAAGTTAATAGCTTGGGTTTTACGTCCTGAACCCCTTCTACCAAATATTACCACCCGATATAGGTAGCCAGCCGATAAATTTAGCATCGAAACAACTGTTAATAATTAAACGAATCAAAAATTAGATTTGGTTTATAAAAATGATATTCACCTCCATCCTTGCCACCTAAAAGGCAGTCCTTATAAATTTCTGAAGCGATTCGCTTTATATTTGCGCCAATCCATTGCTGTACCAATTCGGGTCGTTCTAAAGCTAATTCCACTAAAATTTTCTTTATTTTGAAAGGACAGAAAAAACGATTACTGTTCAAATACTAAAAGTTGTTCGCGGTCTTACCTTCGAAATTTCAATTAATTTATGACGTTCAAAATACACCATTAATTCAGCAGCGTATTCTGTAAATCTAAGAGTGTCTTTGTCTAACAATTCTGACATTTTTTAAGCAAAAATATTTTATATATTGATAAGGAAACGGAAATCTAATAAGAGAAGCTTTTTAGTCAAAATACGTAAAATATTGAAAATACATATGCATAAAAGTTTTCAAAAATAATGAAGCTTAAAACGTTAAAAAAAATTAATAACCGACTTAGAAAGTATTTTGTAGTAACGAGTTGCCTATTAGAAATTATATTTCTGTCTTATTTAAAATTACAACTGAAACATCTGAATTTTCGAACCATTTTGCAGACATTTTCTATTCCTCTAGCTGCACATACTATCGCCATGCTATCTCATTTGTTATATATTGAGATTTGTTAGCGACATACTATGGAAATTATAACCGCACGGCATCGTTGAATTGACAATAAAAATTGCGATAATTGTAATTTATGCCGATAATTTAAGCACTATTAAATCCCCCCAACCCCCTGAAAAGTAGAGCAGATCACAACGATCTGACATCAATACTTTGTCAATTACACTGCCTTGCTTCGTCTTACATTCACATCAAGGGTGCTAACACAAAGAAGCGTCATATTCATTTTCGGCTTAAGAACACCCAAGTGATAAACATAATGAGCAAATCACTTGATACAAAAGAAACGTACATTAATGTAAGATAAATAACTTTAAAATTTAAAAGAAACTAATGCATTTCTTTTTGTTATATTTATATATATGCATTCAAAAATATATGGTTTGTCGATTGCCAAAAAGTTTTGCAAAATGTCGCAAAAGTTACGAGTCTCAACTTGAAAATAGGAATAACGGCTCATTATTTGAGCCCTCAATTTAACAACTTTTTCTAAAACTTTATGGGAATTGACAAGTCATATGGTTTTACATATATACAACAATTAAAACAAAAAGAAAAAATCCCAAGAAGAAGTGATGATCGTTTCGATATAAATTTTAAGGTTAGTTATCTAATTTATGTTTATCTTACACTAACGTACATTTTTTTAATATTTTGTGATTTGTAATTTTCGTTTATGCTATGTATTATTTTGAAAAAAATGAAAAATAAGCAATAAAGACCATTTACTTTAAAGTTGAAATTGTGTCATTAGAGATTCATAAATGGTAACTCGTAAGCTATGGATTAGTTAACACACAAAAAGACTCTTGATGGTATCATAAATAATTAATTATGAAAATTAACAAAATTGTTATTGTTTATAAATTTGTCGTTTATATTTACATTGATTACTTTATTTTTGGTCTCAAAAACATCTGATTTTATTTAAATTTTTTTGTAAAACAATATGATAATGCAGCCGCCCATTATGCCTACCGCTTGGGAGTTTTTAACCCGAAAACGAAAATGACGTGTCAGTGTGTTAGTCCCTTTAATGTTTTATGACGACATTTTTTTTATGAGTGTAATTTTTTATTTGATTTGTTACTTTTTGCCAATCAAATCATATTTTAGATACAAACATATACATGAATTTGTTTACTTTTTCCTTTGAAAGGATATACGGAGGCCCAAAGGCGCGGCTTTTGGCGACTTGGTGTTCCTTCTTTACTAACAAGTGACTACATTCTATTTATCCACACGCGAGCACCTGGCAACACTATCAATGTTTTCCTTTAGCTAAAGTCGTTTTTAACACGTGCGGAACTATTGCGAGTTGAAGTTTGTTTTTCTTACTAAAACTCGGGAGTACGGTACTTGACTTTCTAAGATATTAGATTTCATAAAATGGGTAAAAAGACTAAAGTAGGAAAAAGTCGTAAAGATAAATTTTATCAGTTAGCCAAAGAAACTGGTAAGGATGCATATGTGTGAATACAATAGTGTGTTTTTCACAGGAAGAATTTATTTCTTAGGTTTCCGTTCACGTGCCGCTTTTAAGCTAATCCAGTTGAATCGAAAATTTAGTTTTTTACAACAATCGCAAGTATGTATCGATTTGTGTGCAGCTCCGGGTGGTTGGATGCAGGTCGCAAAACAAAACATGCCGGTATCCAGCATAGTGATCGGTGTAGATTTGTATCCCATACGACCTATAGCGGGATGTCTCAGTTTAGTGGAAGATATTACCACCGATAAATGTCGCCAGTCATTGAGCAAGGAGTTGAAGACATGGAAAGCTGATGTCGTTTTACATGACGGAGCTCCTAATGTTGGACGCAATTGGTTGCATGACGCCTATCAACAAATCAGTTTGACGTTAATGGCTTTGAAATTGGGTACAGAATTTTTACGTGGTGGCGGTTGGTTTGTGACAAAAGTCTTTCGTTCCAAGGATTATAACGCATTGTTGTGGGTATTAAAACAATTATTTAAAAAGGTTCACGCCACTAAACCTAGTGCCTCCCGTAAAGAATCGGCTGAGATATTTGTTGTGTGTCAACACTATTTGGCTCCGGATCGAATTGATCCCCGTTTGTTAGATCCAAAATATGTTTTTGAAGAACTAAGTTTAGAAGGAAATAAAAAAGTTAGTTTACTTCACCCGGAGAGACAAAAACGTATCAAAGCAGAAGGCTATACCGAAAAAGATATTGCTCTTAGAAACGATATCAGCGCCACCGAATTTATGAAAGCTGAGAGTGGTTTGGCCGCTTTACTAGATATTGGTTCAATACGCATCGACGATGAACGCATAGCTAAACACCCGAAGACAACCGCGGAAATATTAGAATGTTGTCGGGATATAAAAGTGTTAGGTCGCAAGGATATCAAGGGAATTTTGGCTTGGTGGAAAGCTGTTAAGGAAGATCTTTTTAAAACAAATAAAGAAGAGGAGGCTGCTCTAATTGAAGAAGAAGTTACAAAAGAACCTTTAACTCAAGATGAGATCGAAAACATGGAGGATGCTGAATTGCAAAAACAAATTGTCGAACTGGCAGAAGAAGAACGAAAAGATATGAAACGGAAACGTAAAAAGACTCTAAAAACGAAAGCTAAACTGCAAGAAAAAATGAATCTTAAAATGGTGATCAAAGGTGATGACGGACCTAGGGAGGAGGGCGAACAGGAGGTGTTTGATTTAAAAACTGTGAGAACTCAAGAAGAGCTAGATGAAATGTTAGATGTTGCACCCGATTTTGGTGTAGAAGAACACGTGGAAATTCCGAAGTTGCCCAAATATAAAGCGTAAGTTCATGCTCTTTAATACTGTATGGGTTAATATGCTTCAAAACATCGACTTTTCTAGTTATCAAAAAGACGACAAACGTTTAGACGATGATGGCAATTATGAGAACGATGATGAGCCTGAAATATCTGTAGACGAAGAAAGTGAGAACGATTATGACAAAGAAGGGCTAGGCTTAAGCGATAATGATCAGTCATCCAAATTCGACAAAAAGACGAAAATTAATAAAAAGAAATTAGCTGATCATCCTCTAATTAAATCGGGTGACTTCCGGGACAAAGACACTAAGCGTCAGCACCGAGTGCAATTATGGTACGAGAAAGGAAACTTACAGAAAATTGATAGTGAAGACGATGAAGACTACGATTTGGATCGGTTGGCCAATGAATATAAAAGCAGGGGTGTTAATATATTGGGTGAAAAAGTTGAAAATAGTAACAAAAATGACGCTGTCGCTTTGGGGAAGAAAGCTAGGCGCAAAGCTCGTCATACAGCTACGAAATCATCGTCTGAAACCTCCAGTGATTCTGAAGAAGAAGAGAACGCTATAACCGCGGATGACGAAAATAAGGAACCAAAACTAAAAAAGATACGTCTTACAGAAGAAGAACTGGCGTTAGGAGCCATGATGATGAAAGGCAATAAAGCGCGACGTGATTTAATTGACGGGGCCTGGAATCGATATGCTTTCAACGATGATAACTTGCCAAGCTGGTTTATGCAAGACGAAGAGCTGCATATGAAGAAACAATTGCCAGTTCCTAAAGAAATGGCCGAAGAATATCAACGTAAAGTACAAGAGCTAAACGTAAGGCCAATTAAAAAAGTCATGGAAGCGAAGGCACGTAAACGCAGACGTGCAGTTAAACGATTAGCAAAAGCCAAAAAACAGGCTGAAAAAATTATGGAAAATGCTGATGCTACTCCACAAGAGAAAGCTAAACAACTAAAGAAAATATACAAGAAGACGCAAGAAAAGAAAAAAGAAGTGACTTACGTGGTAGCTAAAAAACATCAAGCCGGTAAGAGAGCTAAGCGACCACCTGGGATTAAGGGCCGATATAAAATAGTCGATCCCAGGCAGAAAAAAGATAAACGAGCCGCAGACGTTAAGGCTAGACGAGATAAACGTAAGGGAAGAAAATAGTGATTTTCAATAGCAAAGAAACTTAAATGAAATACAACAAAAATTCTATCCAAATGTTGCAGTAATCGATTCATAAGACATAACAAGTTAACCATTTTCTATCTTAATAAATAAAAAATATGTGGTTTCTGCTCATTGAAATATTTTTTCTTAAAACTCCGGTTTACTGAAAATAATACATTTTTAACATAATTTTTTAATAGTTTTGCCTAGAAAATAAGACGTTTGGTTTCTGAAATGTTCAATAATGTTTAAAATCAAAATGAATATCACAGTGTATAACTCAAGATTTCTAAGGGGAAACAAAACTTCTTTAATATATAAAAAAAGATACAACATAACGGCTAACCACTAAAATTGGCAATAATTTCCAAAGTAAATATATGCTAAAATTATTCCGAAGCCGTCAATATTAAGAAGAGGGAAATTCTCAATTATTACGCCCAAAACAGTTTAATCTAAACTATTCCCATCCACATCGCTGCCCGAGCTAATACTGGGCGATATGGTAGTCGAATTCGAGATCATGCCGCGATCTAAGCTACCATATTCTAAGTTATAGTATTGAATAACCTTAGCTGGAGGACGATTGGATATGATTTCCGTTATTTGATTGACAATCCATTTTGTTAATTTGATGACAGCTATGTGAGCAGCAAATTGCAAGATTATAGCGCCGAAACCCTTATAAAGACCCGAAAAACCCTCTGCAGCCACCGTTGTACGGTAACAATCTATAGCGCCTTGATAATTGGTTAATATAGGTACCACGGCGTAGCCATTATCCAGATTATCGATAATTGTACGTGTTCCCTGCAACTGAATCCGATGCAATATAGTCTCAAGGGGATAGAAAATCACCTCAGTGGTTAACATAGATATTAAATTTGAATAGACTTCAACATTCTGATTTTCTAGCGAGTCATCTTTAAATTTAGCACCTTTACGTTCCTGTGATTGCTGTATACGTCTACGCATTATGCGTGAAGAAATACCTTTAATTACCAAACTAAAACAGGTCGTAATATGAAAAGTCTGAACTTGCAAAAATTAGCTGACATTACGTACCCGAAAAGATATTTTGTAAGACCGACACCCACTGTCGGGCCAATCAAGGCCCAAATGGGCAGCATGCGCCCTTTTTGTGGTGATTTCCAATATAACAAACGCAGACTACCCTCACGAAATACATCAAATAGTCCAGGTTTTTCGCTTGCTATGTCACTTTGTACTGTTTCGACTAGAGAAGCGGCGTAGAATGGCATAACTAAAGCGATGCTTAGGCTAAAGAGAAAGAATGTGCATTAAATCGATTTAAAAATACTTTTTTTTTGTATTTTATCATTTACCCTTTTAATATGACGTGCTGTCCGAAACGTTTTAAAGAAGTCCGACTGTCTACGTCTCTAAAAGAGATTTAGTAAATGTTACTGTTTAGTTATTTATTTATTTATTTTTTAATATTGTTTTACTCACTTCGGCCACATCGTTATTTTTGATAACACATCGTCCATAGCCATTGAAAGACCTCGCACCAATAAACAACTACCTAAACCCTTCCACAGTGTGGTAACACCTTGACGACGATGAAGATGCACTATAGCTGGTATTAATCCCAATGGATGTAAGTGGTACCTAAGCAAGGAAACGTCATTATAATAGATAATGAAAATTGGCAGACCATACCTTTGTGAAGCATTATAAACTTGACATTGCCTTCTTAGTACAATAAAAGGATGATTGAGTAAATTTTCAGTTACTAAACTAACCCATTGCACACCAATTCCCAGATATTTACGTATAGAAATTTCTGTTAAAGAAATACAGTTAAATCTACATTCATTCAGCCCGGTTTTATTCTTTTTCCTCACCGTCTTCTTGACTATCGTAATATTTTTCAAATCCTCGGTGTTTTTCTAGCGGCAAAGATAAATCTCTGTCTGAGGTGACATTCTTTAGACCAGGACCAGCCCTTTCGTGTCCTGAAGTCAAACTCTCTAAGTAAGCTTGATATTGATCGTCACTTAATTGATATCTGCGAACAGAAATGTAAAAAAAAAAAAAATCAATAAAAGTTTCATTTCAATTGGTGTGCAATTATTAAAAAAAACTTACTGCATTTGAGGTGATCTTTGTAAATTGAGAGTGGCTGGTGGCAAACCTGTGCCACTGACTGCAGCGCGGGTGTGTTGAGAACCGGACCTTTGCATCTCTTTATCATCTGTGTCTGAAGGATTTTGGTTGGTAGTGTACCTATATATATATATATATGTGATAAATTTAGAATATTTTATTCGGGATTCCGAAAACGATTTACTTACATTAGCGTTGAGTAGTTGTTCATGCCTGCCATAATTTCCTAATGCTTAGTGCTAAGTTGCTGTTAAACCGCGAAAGCTTCTTTTCAAAAGCTAGTTTAAATCTTACGTGTTTTCATATAATGCGCGTGTAGCAGAAAAAAAACTATCGCAATCTTTGATAAAAATAAAAATATTTGTAGTTTTTTGCCTACAAAAGTCGAAAATATATAAAAACGTCTACTCTTCTCTCCCTATGAACTTAAATTGTCAATATATGCTTTAACGATGCCATATTTGATAAAATATTCAAGTTATGTAATAATTTGGCATCTCTTCATATATGCATCTGCTGTGTTCTAGATTTATATGAATACTAATTTCCATAGATTACTAATAAATATTCGCATACATGTTTCTCTTTTGCAAACATCCTCGGATAGATTTTATTTCCACTTAAAATTTCAAATCAAATAAAACTTTTCGTAATATATTAAACGTTGTAAGTTCGATATTCAACAAATAAAATAATACTGTTAGGTTTGCTTGTTGGCCTTGCCTCATTAAAGTAGGAAATCTTTTTATCTAATTTTAGATTTCCGAAAGCTAAATATTTTTAATGTTTTATAATGTTGGCTTTCGTGCTTTAAAATGGCCATATAGTTTTGTAATGTTCATTTCTAGCACATATATATTTATATATTTAGGAATCGTGCAGCAAATTAATAAAATATCGCCTTTAAAAAACGTATAGTTTCTTTTTTTTAATAAAAGTAAATTAAAAACATTATTCTGCTGATCAAAAGTCAATGATTTTTTTATTAAATTTATTCGCTATTGGCAGTGCTTTGTTTATACTATTATTTTTCTTATCAATCAATTCGACGTTTATGGGGTCAATATTTGATTCGAGCTATTGAGTGAACTCGATAGCTGCGAATTATGGATAATAATTTTTGTATAAATTATGATCAAAATACCATCTACTATATTACTACTAACTACACTTGCATAAATTATGATCAAAAATCTTCTTTATTTTACCTTATTTATTTATATCATTAATTTATTATTATAATTTATTTATATAATATAATAACAATAGACAACGAATATTGAACAATCGTCGACCACGCGCAGAGCATTAAATGTAGTATTTTAAAAAGAAATGCAATTTCTGAAAGAGCAAACGCTGAAGCAATTCAAATTCAAAGATATGGATGTAGCCATGCAATTTTAAAATGGTTTTTATTTGGCTATCAAACGTGATAATGCGTATAACAAAATCCTCTTAAAATAAAATTCATAAAAAACGAAAACTTTCAATAACAATAACAAATATTAATAAAATAAATAAACACGACAACATTACGGTAATTTTGATTTGAATTTCAATATCACTTCAATAATATTATTAATATAAATTAATTAATAAATATTTATGAGTTATGCGTTACCGCTTTTCAAGCTTTTAGACAGAAAGTTATTTCATAAAAGAAAAGCTGCATTAAAATCATTCAACTTCTTTTCATCCTTTTGCATGTGCAAGGAACGATGCATATTTAAACAAAAGCTACAAGAGCTTCGATGAAATTAAACGAAAGCTGCAACTTGTTTGATGAATGTAAACAAAAGCTGAAGGAAATTCGTTGAATCTAAACAAAGGCTGCAGGAATTTCGATTAAAATGGAAAAAAGCTGGAGGAATTTCGATGAATCTAAACAAAAGCTCAGAAAAATTCTAACCCCCGCAACATTTTTATTTTGTTTATGTTTCTATGGCACATATTTCATCCTGCTGCATGGAATTTTTTACTAAAAACTCAGATATATGAATGGATGCATATTTATTTATTTATTTAATTTATTTTTATTATTACGGCAATGATTGATAATATGGTTATGCAGCCTGGGTGACGTGACAAGGATTTCAACTGGCGTCATATATAATAATATGATTGGTCACTCATCAAATTAATGCCCAGTGAACCAGTTTTGATGGCGATGCAATTGTATTCAAATTGAATTCATTAACTAATCTTTCACGTTCCTATGAAGTGATTTAACCATCCCAATCTGTTTTTTCAGACAATAGAAGGAGATAAGAAAAATGAAATAATAATATTAAAAACAAATTTCAAATGAAAAAAAAATTACGAAAAGTGTAATAAAAATCTGCACGCTGTACTTGATTGACTTGGAAGAAATTATTTCAATTAAATTTAACTTAAGTAAACTTTGCCTAATAACAGGGAACGCGTTCGTGAAGAATGCAAAAAAAAATTTCCAGCTTATGTGAAATCGTTATCAAGCCCGGTTCATATTTTTTGATAAATTTGAAAATTCAGTCGTAAATGATTTTATCGCAGAAGACTTGTCCCGGCGACGAGATAGATATCAATTTCAAATTTTAATTCAAGTCAAGTTCAGCAATATCAGTTTCGGTGATTTCTATTTCTTTTGCATTTAAATCAATAGTCGGTGAAGTTAAAAACCAATGTAAAAAATGCGAATAAAATGATTACGAAATTTATTTATATAAGAATTACAACATATTAAGAATATATTATTATTAAGAATTTATTTATTATTTTATTTTATGTTTATGTAGATTCAGGGCTAAGGTGATTTGCAAATGGGGAAATAGCGGATAAAACCTTTTAGGATGAGCGAATTTTAAACTTAACAATAGTTAAGTCTGCAGCATTAGAGAATATATTCAAAATTTGCGCAATTCAACATTTTCGTGCGAATATATCTATGATTTTTGATTAATTTGTAACTATGGATAGCAGTTTACATACACATACACATATACATACACATAAACAGAATAAATAAGTATCTGTTTACGCAAGCTTAACGCTGCATATGTATTAGTATTTGCATTACACAGTATCTACAAAACATTCTTTTTCTGTGTCATAAACAGTCACCCAGTAGCCCAGTAGTTATTTGAGTTTGAAAGCGGAAACTTTGTTAGAGTTGGAATCTATGCAAGTATGTCTACATTATAAGTATAATATAAGCGTTTGTTTGCGCATACAATTACAATGTTGCGTTACAATGTTACATGCCCCATTATTGATCTCATTGATAAATTGAATAAATAATTTTCAAAAGTTATTTTTTTAAAAATGCAATTTTTTTATTCTCTAAAAAATTTAAATAATTTAAAAACAAAAAAAAAAGAAAATTAAGAGGTGCTTTTAAGTGATTTATGTTAGAAAAGGATACGTGATTAATTATGTTCCGCCGGCAACCGCTTTAAATCGTTAAGTCGTTGTGCTATGATTTAAAAGTGTGTGTGTGTGTTTTTTTTTTTTTTTTTTGCACGTAAACTTGCTTTTGATAATTAGATCTTTGCTCGCAAACATTTTTTACAACGAGTTGTTCAATCAACTTTCACCCAATGAATGTAAGAAACTTTTTTTTTTTTTCTTGAAAAATAAATTATTTATGTGATCGGACGGTAAAGAAATATGGATTCGTAATGTGTTGAATTATTTGCGTTGGAAAAATTAATGTTTTGGGTAAATTTTTCAAAAAAAAATCTTACATCAAAAAACAGGTTCTTCAAGTTCCAGATAACTTGCAGTTAAATATTTCGCTTATAAAATGAATTCATTTATTATCGTCAAAAAGGCGAAAAATAAGGAAATGACGAGAATAAAAAAAGAAAAGAAAAAGACAAATATTCATCAAACACTGCGGCAACTATGTAAAATTCATTTTATTTATATTTTATGTCGTCTGCGGTCTCGCTACACTACTCGCAAATAATATGCACATTTAGTGTATAAGTGCCAGTCGCTTCTCAGCAAACTACAATCAGGAAACTTATGTTGTTTAAATTGCAATTTAATGCAAATCTATTGCAAATTAAAGGGTTTTCTCTTTACCTATGCAAAACTACTGAAATTTATATTTAAGCAGACACATATATATATATATATATATATATAATTATTTTTCCGCTAAGACACGCACACTGGTCCATAAAATTATGTTTACTCTCCTTATGCATTATTATGCAAGAAAGAATTGATCTAATTAGGCGATACTTAGCTTCAAGTAGATTCAACAATCATATTATTTGCAATATTGTACAGCGGATGTTTCTACAGTAGTATATTATTTCAGCAAAGACAATCGTCTCCGTAATCCCGAACGGAGATTCGTCTCAAAGTAAACAAGTAAGAAAATTATATTCACCCGTAAACACCTCTATTACACTATGTATCTTAAGAAAAGAAGAAAAAGAATTAAATTTACATATTCTATAATATCGAGTGGGCATGGCGGAATTTTTTTTGTTTTTTGTTTTCAGAATAAAGATTGGAAATTTATATGGTGTAGTGTGTTGTTCTATTTTATGATAAAACAAGCAAAAAACACGGAAGACATAGTTTTTGTTATATAGTCTTGTCAGTTCTGTAGGCGGGACTTTTGAAAAGCTTGTGTAATTTTCAATTTTTTTTTAGAAATGATACGCTAAACTAATCGGCTAACATCGGGAATAGGAAAGCAGTGAACAATAAATTTTCATACTAATATACAGAAAATATATTTAAAACTTTTACTTTCTAGGAAGGATAAGTAACAGTGTTCAAAATTGAAAAATGCAATGGAAGAGTTATATGTTGTGTTAGAGAAGTTTTAAGAGGAAAAAAAAAAATAAATAAAAAACTATATTTATTGTTTCAGAATGCATTTGAGGTAACCCTCGAATGCAATAAAAATCGAAAGGAGACAGGGGTCAACACGATGGATATCGCTATCTTTTGCACAATTCCACTTTATTCTCTCTTCCTTGTCTAGCATTACGACGAGGCTCCAAATTCGAGATATCGTTAAATCGCATATTGTCTTATGTTATGAATATAAAATCTTATGACAATCTTATGAAGTTTGTAAATGTTATTACCCATATATATATATAGTTGTAGCAAATTACTTGGGTAAACAGCTTTCTAGCATAAAATGCTCCTGCAAAAATTTATTTTTGATTCGATTACACCTCATACAACTCAATTTAATCTATGAAATTGTAGTAGATATGTATAGCTCTATATGTATATAATATTTATTAGGACTCTTTTTCAATCTTATAATATTCAACAATACTTGGATTTACAGGCGATCAACTTGGCGACTCATGCTCATCAAGAAAAGGATACAATTTATATATGAAAAAAAAAAAAACATAATCAAACACTAACAAATAATCCAAACTAATCGTAGGACTTCATTAAGTACTTCATGCTCTCACTCGTTGCTAAATAGCTTTGAGGGAAAAGAACACATGTATGGTTGAAAATGAAGTTATACATAATGACCAGTCTAAATAATATATCGGGAAATTATATTTTAGTTTACTTAATTGCCTGGTCTCTCTCTCTGAACAGAGGTCTCTATGTTTTGCTGTAAAAATCCTAAATGTGAACCATCTTGTATGCCTTGCCTTTTCATCATAACCTAAAATCAGATGATGCTTTCTCCACAAAATCCACCTCATCCACCACTATCCACTTTTAAAGCTTATTGGCT